AAGATCATCAATGACAAAGTAGTGAGATTTGAAAGGCATTGAGAGAATATAATCTTGGTTACTTACTAGATCAATCATCACCTGACCATCATTCTCTCTTTGTTTTTTTTGTCAAGATGATACTCGTCACAGATCTTATTTATGTTGAGGACATCCTACTCACCAGAAATTATTTAGTTTTTATTGGTAAGGCCAAATCTTTTTTTTTTGTGATGTTAATTTATCAATGTTAAAGATTTGGACACTCTTCTCTATTTCTTAGGTGTCAATATGGCACGTTCTCCATGTGGGGTTATTCTTTAGTCAAAATAAATACAGTAAGCATATTCTTGCAAAAGTTGGCGTTCAAGCTTCACGACCCAGTTCTTTCCAGTTGAACAAATAATCATTTCACTTGTCCATCATCGGATGTCTTGTCGAAGGTTCTTCATATTGTCGTTTGTCAAGCTAACTTCAGTATTTGACTGTCACTCGTCCAAACATCAACTATGGTGTCAATATTCTTAGTCAGTTTATGCATGCTCCTACTCATGCTCATAGGGGTGCAACAATCTGTATTATTTATCTCAAATATCTCTAGGTTAGACTCTTTATTTTATAGCCAATAGGTCTCTTGATTTAGTTTCTTATTGTGACGATGATTGGGTGGATGTGAAAGCACTCATTGGTTAACAAATGGATTTTTTCATCTCTTAGGAGATGCCCATGTCTCTTGGTGAACAAAGAAGCAGAAGGTGGTTGCTCATTCTTTTGCAGAGGCCGAGCTAGTATTATGCTATGACTAGCTTGTTAGTGAAATTCTTCGGTTATGTTGGCTATTTTATGAACTTGGAGTTTCTATCACTCATCCTATTACATTCATGCGATCCTTCACATTTATACTAATCCTCTCTTCTGAGAACGCATCAAACACGTTGAAATAAATTGTTAGTTCATCTGGAACCGTATTCTTTCTCGCGTTATTACCCCTTGCAATTAAGCTTAGCTCGCAGTTACAACTTGCTGATCTTTTCACTAACAGCCTGTTTGGATACAATTCCATAAGAAATGGAAATGGATTTCCATTCTCAATTCTAACTTTTATGGAATTTCATTTCCAATAGTTGTGTTTGGCATAATTCCAACAACTATGGAAATGAATTGTACTCTTTAACAATCATTAATAATTTAATAGTTTTTTTATCTTGAGAAATGAAATACTAATGAGAGAGAAAGAGAGGAATAAAATACTGGAGTTATAAAATAATAATAAACATGAATGGGTCCCACTAATTCCATCTCCATAAACTCAATTCCTATCACTTTTGATAGGAATTCTAATTTCCAATATTTGGGTCAAATGGAATTCATTTCCCAACCTTCTTACCACTAGCTTCTTACCATTGCCGGTAATTTATTTATTTATTTTATATCCTGTTAAATTGTATTTTCGTTGCCTCGCTCTCAATTCTCAATTACTTAAAATTGTACGATGGCAAGTTGAGTAGTTTGCCTTGGGGAGTATATGGGCATTGGGCCGTGTTTGGGCCGGCACGCTTCGGGCCCGTTTATTTCGTGTCATGCTTGGCACGGTCCGTCAGTTTTCGTGTCGTGCCGTGTCAGCCCATTTGTTGATTTTTGCTAGGCCCGAACACGGTTTTCATCGTGCCGTGCTTATTCGTGCTCGTGTCATGCTTATATTCGTGTTTAATGAAAATAAAGAAAATAAAAGAGAAAATAAAAAAGAAGTAATAAATTGGACGGAGAATGAAAGTATTAAATTATTTATGAATTAACTACGCAGGTCTAAGATGAACAATTTATTAATTTGCCACTCTTTGCTAGCTAATGAAAGTTAGGGTCCAATACTAAAAATATGATATTTAATTCACCAACAACTTCCACATATCACAACAGTAAACCCGCAAAGAAAACAAAACCATGTTCTCTCCCGATAAATCAATGGTCTTGCCTACCTGTTAGAGATGGGCAATGGGTTGATCAACCGCTAAACCCACCCGAACCCACCGATTATGACCCGCCCATTACATGTTTGGGTTGATGTGGTGGATGGGTGTGAGTCAACTTTTTTGTCACTCACTAAACTTGGGTGGGTGGCGGGTGGGTCATTACCCGCAAAATCACATGATATGTTAAGTCATTAATGCACATTCTATAATAATATACTATATTTTCTTATCTCAAAACTTTAATCATGACTGATTCAATTAAATTACAATTAACTTTATAATTTTTACTTGATGTATACTATAACTTTGATTATTTTAAAATATGAAAGCTATCAATAAAATAATTTTTGTTGATAATAGGTGTTATATATGCAATAAACTATGTTTAATATTTATAAATTTTCTTAATATGTAGTATTGATATTAAATTATTTTTATGCAAATTTTTATGACTCATCATTTTCTAATATTTAAAAATCATTTGACCCACCAAAATCGTCAAATTCACCCATCATTCGCTGTCACCCACCCACAACGAAAACAATGGGTGGGTGGATTTTAAGTAAAAAATTTAGTTTTTACCCCACCCATTGATCAATTGATTTGAGTTCATTTCTTATTATGTTAACTAACTATCTATATTTTAAATAATTTGGGACTTCTCGGAAACTTAAACATAATTTAAAAGTAATATTTGTCTGAACTGATTCCTCTGCCGATCAACAGCTTTCCTTGCTCCTCAGCTCGCTATAGCCACCAGCGGGAGAGGAAGAAGATGAACATGTTCCTTCTGTTCATCATGATGCAAGGTGGTGTGAAAAATAAAAGAATTCCAAATATTTGAATTGTTTGGGTCCCTTCGCCAAAAAATTGACAATTGCTGCATATTCCGCCCTCTCTTCAACCCCTCCATATATTATATCTACTCTTCTTCCTGATTACCCAATATATAGCTTGACTTTTTCACAAAACCTAACCCCGATTACTTAAATTGAAACCAAATAAAGATAACAACAGAAATTGAAGGGAGCAAATTTTGGCATGTAGTTACTGTTGCGGGATAAAAAGGAAGGCAGGAGCAAAGATAGCATACTTCTTGGTGCGCCGGATGAGTGTTAGGACCTACTAAAATCCAAAGAGGGTTTAACATCCGCGCTAACACATACCAGAAGCATTCCGGCTTTCCAAATTGCTCGTCCAAAAAAAAACTCTCCATCCAGAAAATATTAAATGGCGGTGACAATTTTCTAATTCTACCATAAATTATTATGTAGATTATTAACTAATTCCCACAACCATTAAGAAAATCCTAGTGCACAGCTTTTTGAATTACACCGGGTGAAAGGAAGTTGGCCAAAGATAAAATTCATAACATAAGCGTTCTACGTACACCAATCTCAAACATCTGTTAATTCTCATTAGTTCTTGTTTGTGACCCATATAAAATATTTGTATAAATACATTTTTTTGCAATACGTGTAGTACTATCCTATTTTAACAAAATTCACAATAACAATATGATTATAACTAATTTCTTGTGAAAATATCCTTCCAATTTTATCTCTGGATGCAGGAATTTTAAAATGGGACTTCCTCTTTTCCATTCCACATTAAAAGTAAGCTAGGTAAGTGCACAAGCTTGTTGGGTGGATTACTAAGAATTTGAACACAATGCACCTATAGTTTGAATGCTATGTTTCTATAATCAATTGAAATGATCGAATATACTCATTCGTTGCAAGTAGGATAAAGAATACAGGTCAATGTTTGGCATGATCTTGGGTTTCATGTTTATGGAGACACTCATTCGTATTTTGCTATCTGTTTCAATTGTCCACCATTGGTTAAGCACCTTATAAATTTGCATACTCAAATTGATATAATTAGTTATATTCTTTAAAATGGAAGATAAAAATATGCCAGATGTTGAAAGATGATTCTACTGATATTCTTCGACTAAACTGCAGCTTAAGCTCTTTTGTTCAGCTTCAATTCATTTCTGTATAACCATTTACTTCTTCTATGTTTCCCTGTCCTTTTTACTTCTTCGTTCTTTAGCCCTTTTCACCTACCCCGATTTCATTCTCAATGAAAGTCCCAATAACAAAACATAACATTTGTACTTTATGACATTAAAAATTAAATTACCTTAATACATTCATCTTAAAGAATGATGCGTTGGATACCTTCTCTAATAACAGTAAAAGATTATGTTTAGAAAAACTAATCAGCTCCAGTTGTACACAATGATACATCTTCGTCCTTGTTGGAGGAAGACAAATGGGAATTTTGAAACAAAACCCAACCTATGAAAGTAGAGATTCCAGTCGGTCTATTCTGAAGAAACCATGCTGAAAACAGGCAATCCAATAACCAGAAGTTCACATACCACAGTTAACAGATCCCAAGGAAGCATGGGAAAAGATCCATTCTTGCTTTTTATGTTTCAAAATGGTGCATAAGTATCAAATTATACACTCTGCCTTAGCAACAATATAAAAAACATATATCAAGGAAGACTTCAACTCAGACCACCTGTCAATTAGCAATTTTGAAGAACAAAACCTTGGACAAAATCACCAAACTTAAGGGAAAAGCTTTGCTCTATTATATCGACAAATCCCCTAAGATCATACTGAAATTAAAAAACAATGAAGCCATGAAAAGAAATTACACTAGTTCTGAGAAGTGGGAAGTCCAAGCTTCTGTTCGGCATGAACACATAGATAAGCATCTTATCCTTTTCCGCGCAGAATCTCACCACCCTGACCAGACTCACATGCACTTCCATCCATCTCAATCAACTGAGATGAAAGTATAAGCAACATGCCAAATCCATTATGATTGCATAAGTTTTAATACGAAAGGAAGAAAAGGCAAGCATCAATGGTTACCTGCATGGGAGAGCTCAAAGGTCCTAGTTACTGGCATTCCCCAACTGGAATGCAATAAAAGCAGTGAGTCTCATCTCCATGGTGTAAGAAGCTTCCACTCTAATCGCGTCCACCCCTTCGAATTTGATCTGAGTCAAAACCAGAGTGAAGCAATTCTCACGTAAGTTGCATTATACTTCGCTAGACCTCCAAATCTGTAGTTCCACTACCCTTGCTGGTACATCATAGTAGATCGTCTACAAATTGTAGAAGCAAACCTAATGGGTAAACCATAAATCCCTAGCTACAAACAAAACCAAAGCATATAACCTATAATGCTAGCGACCATTATAAGCAGAATGTGTTTCTATATTGCTAGCGACCATTATAAACTATACTTCTAGCAAAACAAAAGAAAAGTGGAAATCACCAACATGAATCAAAATGGGCTTGCTTCAAATCTGAATCGCCACTACCCAGCCAGGTTGACGTTGGCTTTTGCTTCCCTATCATGCTTGCTTCATCACCGACAACAAATGCAGATCGAATGGCAAGCAGAAACCAAGTCATACGTGTTTATAGACCCCATAAGTTGGCACTTGCAGCCAAATGCATGACATGCTTAACATCAAGTCATATGTGTTTCTTTTCCTACTGAGTTCAAGAGTAAATGGTGTGAGATGGAGGATGGAAGTTGACCTTTTGATTCTGCAAGAAGTGGAGGCAATATGAAATAGTGCTTCTATTAGATGATGAACCCGTTCCGGTTAATTTTGTAGCTGCCACCAAGAGGAAATAATGGAACTGTTAGTACAGAAACCAAAATCCTCGACCATCATAAACTAATCAAACTCGAACTCTACGTTCGCCAATGAGCAAGGATAAATGAAATTCTAGATTTTCAAAACACCAAACGTTTTATAAATCATCAACAGAATGTAACCTTAACTCCAAACAAATGAGTCTGTGGAAGACCTTCTAATTTGTGAATTACACTAAGGACAGGGTCCAGCAAAATGTTGTACTTCTCCACTCTGCCCTTCTTTGCCCTCTAATCACCCAGAACAGGAACTCTTACTTGCGAACTTAGCATTAAGCGTTTGACCGGAAAAGTAAGCTGAAACCACACATCCAAATCGATACAAATACCCCCCTCCAATTTCATCAGAAACCAATACAGTCCAGACCCAGTTCTCCAAAACTTAAGACCAATTATGAGTTTTAAGCTAATAAGAAAGAGGGGGAAAATCGATGGCTTGAGAATGATGGGGGCGCCCTCCACGGATGCGAGTAGCTGGAGCGATTTGGAGCCAAATTATGGACAGGCTGAAGTAGAGAAGAGAGAATAAGCAGGGTTCGTGACGTCGACAGTAGTTACCATGAAAAACCCTCTCAGTGGTTTTGTTTCTTCTGTGCGTACGTCGACATCGTTAATCTTGTCCGACATTTGTACACTGTCTGCTGCAGCAATCGACAGAGAAGATAGCAGCGAATCTCTGGAGGTAATCTGGAACCTGCGGTGGAGGTGGGTTGGCTATCGGAGATGAAAGTCGCACTCGTCAATAACCTCTCCGTCGCCGAGATCGTCCGCGGTACTCCCAATCGCGATCTCCCCACTCCCAAGGACTTCCGTCAGCGAGTGGGGTCGTCGACTTGCTTATAATTAGGGATTTCGATTTGTTTGAAATTGGGAATAGGAGGAGATTTCTGATGCGAGTTATTGTGCTTCTCGCCGGAGGGGACAGCCTCAATCAAATCTGTAAAACGGTTAAAGGGTAAGAAACCTCCTCTTCCATTCCTTCCGCAGATCGATTCTGTAAAAGGGTAAACAGCCTCCTTCCTTCTCCTCCCTTTCACCTTTCCCCCTCTCTCTCTGTAATATGCCTGCAATTGCTCTTCCCTTTCTGTGACTTTCTTCTCTCTCTTAATAACCAGTAGAAAAGGTGGGCTTATTTCACCCAAACAAAAAATAAATGAATATTATATGACAACGTGGGAAACGGAGAAAAGATGGGTAGTGGACAGTTTGTTTAGTTAGTTCTGCAATCAGGCGGGGACTCTTATTTGTTTTCCCGCTTAACACTTTGCCACATCAGCTTCCTAAAATCACTCTACGGGCAGGAAAATTTGATGGGGGTGCAGTTTTACTTTTCAGCTATAAATTATACTGTAGATTTCAAACATAGAATAATAAAATAAAATTTGAAATGGAATTCCAATTCATGAGTTTTTTGTCCAACGCTAAAAGCCTTGGTGCGGATCGTTTCAAGTTTTTATTGTCCAAGCTGCACATCGTGATCTCTACCACTTGTGGGGCATATTGGGCCAAAGTAGTAGTCTCGACCCAGCTGAGAGGAGCAATGAGAGTAAGCCCAACTATATATTCAAGACAAAGTCATGTCTTTGTCGTCCAACATGGTTGTGCGTTGTAAAAGACTCAACAAGTCTCGAAAGACCTTTGGCATTAATTGCAAACCCTACCGTTGCTAGTAAAGAAGTGTACATTATGAATCATGCATGGCCATTGGTTGATCATCAATGAAAAAGTCTTCATTGTTCTGTGGCCGTAGGTCTCATCTACTGTGAGACCGACATACAATTTCTCTTATTAAGCTGAAAGAGCTTTTTGTCCAACTATTTCTATTTGCTCGCTACTAGTACAAGATGGAAGGGTTTCTTCATGTTTCACGCCAGCCGCTTCTTCTACATCGCCTTCTTTGCCCCATAGTAATAAGTATAATCCAATGACGACGAATGCTGCCCCTATTATACTGAACAATTAAGCCACGATCGACGTACACATTAGATATATAACGCCATTTTTCCATTTATGCAACTAAGAACAAAGGAGAAATGAAGGTTGTGATTATATATATAACAAACCTTCCAGAGTAGAGTGTCTCGCCCAAGATAAAGTAAGCGAGAAATGCCACCATAATTGTTGTAAGAGGACCGAAGATGGTGACGAAGACTGGCCCTTTTTCCTCTGTGCACCATAGCTGAATGAAGATCACGAATCCTGAGATTACTACTCCCTGAAAGAAAAAATCAACCCATCTTAAGTGTTTTTTTATAATGATAGCATCAAATTAATTTCAAACTCAAAGATCATAGTTTCAACTTTGCATCTCTTCTTTGTTAAAACACCCAAAAAATCCAACTGTTTTAAGAAAAATGCAGTAGTCTATGCTATAGGTTTACTTACACCATAGATAGTAGACCATAAATCAATATCAAAACCAATTCTCCAAGCTGCCCTTTCACGTTCTACGATAATGGCAAAAATTGCTGATTGTAGGGTCCCAATTGCGCTCATCCATGTTGTCAATGACAGCTGAGCAGGATATCTCTTGAGCGTTAAGGCCTGCAATTTGATAATGTAAATTTGTTTTTTCGTTTTATCGATATCAAATTTAATTTGGTAATGACCGAATCTAAACTCAATTATTTGGGGGGGGGGGGGGGGGGGGGGGGGACTTAAAATAACTCAACCTGTTAGATAATGAATACTTATATCAAGTTACACGAGGTGCAAAGCAATTACGAAAACTTTGGAGAATATATTTCTTAAACAGTTGCGTGGAACTGTCATTATGTAAATGTTTACGTAATCCATTTGCATCTTATGTTATAGTTGTAGAATGATGATACGTAAACCTTATGTAATGGATGATTTTCTTACATAATGGATATTAGTAACATGCGTGTTTTATTGTTATGTGAAAAGTGTTTGTCATTACGTAACCATTATATATGTAATGTCTTTAATTTGTATCTTAAGTAATAATTGTAAAATGTTATCACGTATGTTTTATGTAATGAATAGTGTTTGTAAGTAACGAATAATAGCATTGCATGAGATAAAGTGGCAAGTTGTTGTGGAAACCTTATATAACATATTTGATTTAATTATTATGTAGGGAATAACTATCATTTGGAACATTTACATATGCATATATATATTGCTCGCGTAATAGTTAGAAAACAATGTTGCTGAAGTATTATGTTAATATTTTTGTATACTAAATTGGTCACTCTATTCCTGAAGATTAACAAATTTAGTAATTGCGTGGAAACGATTCTACTAATTTGTTTTCAAGCTTTAAGTGGAAATTATCAATGCTAACGAAAGCCATTGCATATATAATGCATATTAGTAACAGGAAAATATGCATGATTAACTTATGGAGCGTATCATAACCTTGATCTATACAATTCTATATAACCATGATCTCCAGCCATCCGGTCCCTCTCTAATCTGAATTGTAAGAAGTAAACATATGTGCAAAGAAGCAATGCTGTTGAAGAGGCTAGCTATTCACGAGCGGCTCGGTGTTCAACTCGATAAAAACTCATTCGATTAAAAAAAAGCTATATGTTTATGAACAAGTCGAGCTTGAGCTAAGCCTTATTCAGCTCATGAGGCTCGGGAAGTAGCTTAATTAGGTGGTTTGTTGAGTTCTACTCATGAACTGTCCCGTTTTCAGCTCAAGAGATGTCTCGACTATGACTTATGAGAAAATCGATCTATATCGTATGAGTTGGTTTGTTAATGATGCATAGATTTATTAAATTGTATATCTCACCTCATATGATGTTTAATACTTTGAGTATATAAGCATATTTGTCTCATATATGACATGAGATAAGTTAATCACATGTATCGTAAATGACAAATAAATATTAGGGTATTTAACTTACAAATTATCTTAGAGTTGAGTTGAGCTGAATTTTTTATATGATTTAATAAATGAAATTTTGATCTTAATGGTAACTAGTTAGATGATTGGAAAAAGTTCTGCTCCAAAATATATAAAATTGGACGTCATCTTATAGAACACAAAAAAATTAATTTTGTCCGAAAAGTTGATACAGTAATAGTGTATGTTTGAATTATGGTGCCAGCTTAGTTTTTTCTAACCAAAATATGGTGAAACGAAACATATATTGTTGGTACCAGTATCATGTAAATAAGATAGAATTGGATTGGAACCTGCATAATGTACCAGAATGACCATATAAAGCAACTTGCAACCATAAGAACAGAACCCAACAGCCATTTCTCATGGTTCTCATCATCACTCTGTGACGCTTCTATCTTTAAAAGTGGACTCCATAATTGTTTAATGATGGGACCTTTGAATAGTGCCATGGTCATTACACCAGATAAGGAAATTAAGGTCCCCAAAAGTTTTGCTATTCCTCGAGGATGCCGATGATCAAGAGACTCCAACCTGATACAAAGTAGTTGGAAATCAACATTGAAGGATTGAGTACGTAAGACTAATTACATGATACAGAAAAGTGAATTCCTTCCGTATGACAAAAAAAAAAAAAAAAAAAAGGTGCAACCAACCTCGTCACAACTGCTATGACAAATGTCAAAGGAACTATGATGTTCACGATTGAAGCAACGAAAGTTGGTGAAGTGTATTTCAAGCTCATAAAGTACATGTTCATAGGCAAACCCACCCTGCATGAAGCAAGCCAATCATCAGAGAAACTCGTTTGTATGAGTCATTTACAAAATGAGTTATTTATTGAAATGTAAATATTTACAAATGTATTGTTTGTTTAACAATTTTTAGATGAGTCATTTTTATAATATTACTGTTTTGACCTTATATTTAATCTTTCGCTATCTTATTTTCTATCCGGCTATCCTCATAAATTAACCATGTAATAAAATTATTTTCCAACCAATGAAACATATGATTACGAGTGTATAATACTTTCTAGTTTTAAATAATTTTTTATGTTAAATTTATTTGTAAAAGATAACGACTCCATAAGTTTCACATTGGGCTAATTACGACTCATTCGTGAAGGCGACATCTCCAATGACATGATAAGCTAGAGTCACGAGAGAATAATGAAGAGTATAAGATGGATGACCCTCCTTGTCGCTTGTGAAATTTGGTGAAAAGAAAAACAAATTCGGTGATAGAATGTCAGGAAAAATAAATAATAGAAAGGAAAGAACAAGAGTGGGCTTACTAAAAAGTGGCAAGGACGTAATTAGAAATGTTGAGCTAAATAATGAGTCATTTGAAAATGACTCATAGATAGGAAGCATCTCGAAATAACACAATAAAGTCATTTGCGACTTTCGTATGAACCATAAATGACTAATGCATTTTTTTTAGTAATTTAATACCAAATATCTCAATTAAGTCATATGACACCAAATGACCCAAGCAAATCAACATTTAGATTCCTTGAGTGGAATCGATCGTGATTAAGTTTTAAGCGGGATGAAGTTTCTGAAAGGTCTTACCCCAGCAGCGACAGGAAGAACATCTCTAGGAAAAGGACTAACGTCAGCTTGGGCCGCTGCGTCCTGTAGCCAAAACGACAGATTTTTAAGCGCGCGCGGCTTAGGAAGTAGGCAAATATATAGCTAGAGCTCTTACCTTTCAAGGAAGTAGGCGAAAGGGAACATGAAAACCGTCCCGACAAGGTGCCGGTAAGTCACGTAGACATAGGGTTTCAGGCCATGTTTGAAAGAAGCTTCAGTGATGAAGTAGAGAATCGTATAGCAAATCTGTACCAGAATCATGAACATGTGCGCCCTGAACTTTCTGCACAAGGCCACCAAGCCATCCCTAGCCAGCAGCTTCGCCATTTATTTTCTTCGATCTGTGTGGTGTACGAGCTATAGTTAGGTGAAGCTATGTATATAAAGCCATACAAGCAATCATGAACATGGACGGCGGTATCTAGCTGCTTAGGATCTACCGCTGCCATGCATCTCGCCGTGTAAACAACTTCCCCCGAGTACGGTGGATACCATCTTCGGGGTTTCCTCGTCTGCCAACCTATTTATTACAAGTTAGATAACAGCTATTCAATTGGACCATGCGCTAGCTGCTGTATAGATAAAGGTATTTTACCACTCCACTAAAACTCACTTCTTGTTATTTGGTAGCATAGCTTTGATTTATTATATTAAACTAGCACTAATTAAATAGTGATACCGCGTCTTGTCGCGGGCGGAGATGACCTATTTGCATGTATTATGTGGCCCGTTATGAACTTTTATTAGTATTATTAGGCTAAAATTAATTTTTTGTTAGCATTTTTGTTAGTAATATTGATTTGACAATATGATACTGACTAAGAATACATATATGGCGGTCAACATCCAATTTAAAGATATTATAAAATTTTGGCTAGTAAATGATATTTACCAAAACTCAAGTAGACCCATTGATTATTATGGGTAGGGTATGTGTGATGTATATATGAGTTTGAAAGTTTGTAGATGGGTTTGGGTAGGGTATGGATATTTACTTGTATAATCTAATTTTGTATGACTTGGGTGTGGATACTCATTTATTCGAGGGTGTTTTAATTACACATACAAAATTAGACCTCAGAATTTCAAAAGTTTAGATACCAAAATGTAATACACAAAAACTTTAGGTACTAAAATGTATTGTTTCATCAATATTTTGAGGTCTTATATGTCAGAAAAAAATTTAGGTTATAAATCTAAAGATATATTAAGTTTAGGTACAAAACTATAATTTGCATAGTTGAGGCTTAATTCCTTTTATGGTGATGTATTTTTTTTTTGATGAAGCGGTTGGGATTTCATTTTATCAAAACAGTGACCAAGTACACCACTGGCAACAGCTCTGCTAGCTGAGCATAAGGGAGAAACAACCCCTAATACACTTAAAGACCTAACAAGTCACTCAAAAGAATAGACAAACAACTGAAGGCTCAACCATCACTCTAATATCACCTTGAACTCTCTGTACTAAGTCCTGAAAATCATGCTGCTTCCCTGCAAACTTTACCAAGCATCGTTCTCTCCATATTGACGCTACCAGTGCCTGCCAAATCAAATTCCCTGTTTGTGCAACAACAGTGGAGGCTTTGAAAGTAGTCAAGGCCCACTGAAGTTCTCCCTCCCATTGATCGCCAGGGATTCTCACTGCAAACTTACCAAACAAAGCAGCAAACAGCTGCTTAAACAAAGGACAAACAGCAAACAGATGAGTACGAGTTTCCAGAAGGCAAGTGCAAAAAGCACAGCCAGTATTGCCAGAGCCTCCCCACCGTTGCACCTTCTCACCAGTAGTAATGTAATCCGAAATAACCAACCAAACCAGAAATTGATTCTTTGGGATGCAAGCACCTTTCCAAACCAATTTTCCCCAAGAAACTTTGTCCTTCTTTGGGCGGATTTCCTCCCACACCTTCCTGATATAGAATTTGTCCATAAGAATCCCCTTCCAGTAAACACCATCTCCAGCTACAGAGATCAGACCCCTAAATTTGTCTCTGATTTTCAGGACCTTCTGCCACAACCAAGACCCTGCTTTTGAGGTAAGAGTCCAAAAATTCCCACCTCTGATTCGATATTCCCATAGCCAAGCCACCCATAATGATCCCTGTCTCATCAAAACAGCCCAGATATGTCTAACTACACAAGCAAGATTCCAAGCATGTAAATCTTTTAGTCCAAGTCCCCCTTCATTCTTAGGGAATGTAATCCGAGACCAAGCCACCACAGCCTTTTTCCTGTCACCCTCTCCAACTCCCCATAGGAAATCACTACACATTCTCTCTATAGCTTTTATGATAGCCTTTGGCAGAATAAAGATCGACATCCAAAAATGAGCCATACTATATAACACAGCCATCACCAGTTGGAGTTTGCCAGCATAAGATAACGTTTTAGACTTCCAACTATTAATTCTGTTCATAACTTTGTCAATCAATGGCTTACAAGCCTTGATGGAAAGCTTACCAGGAAGCAGGGGAAGGCCTAAGTAACGAACTGGGAGTGTCCCTAGTTTATACCCTGAGTGCTGAGACATCAGCACTTGCCACTGAGCATCAATGCCACCACAGTAAAGTTCACATTTAGAAGGATTTGATTTAAACCCAGACATGTATCTAAATTCATCCAGAACCTTCTTAATACACTGAATACCAAAGTTAGAACCATCAGAAAAAAGCAATAAGTCATCTGCAAACATCAAGTGTGTAATCTTCAGTCTCTTACACATGGGGTGGAAAGGCATAGCATTCTGAGTAACTGCCTTGTGCATCAAACAGGAGAAAACCTCCATTGCAACAGCAAAGAGGTAGGGGGAAAGAGGATCCCCCTGCCTCAACCCCTTCTTTGCTGGGAAGAAACCAACTGACCCCCCATTGAACCCAATGCTAAACTTTGGGGTAGTGACACACATGCTCAACCACTGAAGGAATTTGCTTGGGAAACCCATAGCTTCAAGTACTCTAAATAGAAAAGTCCAATTGACAGAGTCAAAGGCTTTCATTAAGTCTACTTTTACTAAGGCCCTTGAAGAGATGTTCTTTCTGCCATACTTCTGAACTAGTTCATGAGCCAAAAGGATATTTTCCCCTATAATCCGACCCTTAACAAAAGCTGTTTGAGATTCACTTATAACACAAGGCATGACTGCACTTAACCTAGTAGCAAGAATCTTAGCAATGCACTTATAGAGTATATTACAGCATGCTATAGGTCTAAAGAATTTCATTTTTTCTGGACTTTGAACTTTAGGTATAAGAGCAAGCAGTGTAGAGTTGACACTTACTGGGATTTTGGACATTTGGAAACAATACAGAATGGCATTTGTGACTTCCACTCCCACAATACTCCAAGTGGCCTGGAAAAAACATGCTGGATACCCATCAAGACCAGGGGCTTTGTTCCCATTGAAACCAAACATAGTGGATCTGACCTCCTCTGCAGTGACAGGTTTACATAACTCAATCCCCTGAGCAGGAATAAGTTTCTTGAGCAGCAAGTTTTGCAAATGAGCAACCTCAGGAGCAACCACCTCTTTATCCTCCTCCCCCAACAGATTTATATAGAAATCCTCTGCAATTTTAGCCATACCCTCCAAATCAGTGACCCTATGTCCAGCCTCATCAATAAGAGACCTAATCATATTCTTCTTCTGCCTGGTTTTGACTGATCTGAAAAAATAAGGGGTGTTAGAGTCCCCCTCCTTCAACCAGACTTCCCTAGACTTCTGTCTGAAAAAAGACTCATCAGCCTCTCTCAACTCTTTAGCCTCCTTTGATAGCCTATTTTCAATCTCAAATGTAGATGAAGAGGGACTCTTTAGAGCTTCTGCCTGAGCCAAAAGTAACTCAGAGGCTTTCAGCTTTACTCGAGCAGACAGGTCAGAAAAAACTTCTCTGTTAAGTGTCTTCAATAAACCCTTCAAAATCTTCAATTTCTGACCCACTCGAACCAAAGGAGAAACAACTACTGGGGTGTTCCACGCCTGTTTAACCAGCTCCATAAACTGAGGATGCTTAATCCAATACTTAAAAAACTTGAACATCTTAGGTAAAGTTTTTACTGAGCAGTCAGTGTCCAGTAGTATGGGGCAGTGATCTGATACGGAGGGATCAAGTAGATCCACAGTACTCGAAGGAAAATCAGTCAGCCATTTAGTATTAACAAATACTCTGTCCAATCTCCTAGCAATTGGGTTGCCCTGCTGCTTGTTGATCCATGTGAACCATGGCCCTGAGGCCTTGTGCTCTTCCACTTCACAGTCATAATGCCACTTTTTGAAATCTAACATACTAGTTGATACCTGAGGTTGATTTGAAGCCTCACTTGGATCCCCTATAGCATTGAAATCCCCAAACACAGCCCAAGGGAGTGAATCCACTTGGTATTTAATCAAATCATCATAAAGAATTCTTCTATCAGCCTCCTCATTTGAGGCATAAACGACAGAGAAGAAGAAAGGAAACCCTGATCCAACCATAACATGAATGAGCTAATCAGTTGTATGCAAAACCTGAAGCTTGATGTCATCCTTCCACAAAAGCCACAACTTCCCCAAACCAGCAGAATTATTAGAGACCTTTGACTTCCAACCAGAAAACCTCCTAGTAATCATAGCATCAGCCTTATTACTCCTAACTCTAGGTTCTAGTATAACTACTATATCTATATTATGTATAGTAATTAGCTGTTGAACAGCTTTATTCTTATCCGGGTCATTAAAACCCCGGATATTCCATGTAAGTAACTTCATTTCCTCTTTCCAATCCTCCCCCCTTTGCGAGGAAGAACAGGTTCATTCACTCTTGGAGTAGTAGACTTCTTCTTTGACCCAACCGTTATCCAAGGGTTTGCCTCTTTAACAACTGCTGGAGTCTGAGTAACTAGCTTCCCTGCACCAGGTGAACCAGCTACAACAGGCTGCTGCAGAAGGGAACTAGGACTCCCAGTGTCAACTGATGATCCAAGCACCACATCTACAAACCTAGCATTTGTATTTCCATTTAGATGAGGAATAGAGACATCCTGAACACTCTCAGTGGACACCACAGGCTCTGATGACTGTATTTGCAGCACTTCACTAACCACAGAAAGAACTGTGTTACCTTCTTCCATTCCAGCTTCTACTTGCATCTCAGAACCAACCCCTGACGATTCCCCAGACACCACCAGAGTATCCCCCAAATCTGTCACAGACTGAACCTTCTGCTTAACAACCCACTTCTTATTACTTCGAGCCAACGCATTACAGTCATGCCCATAAACAGCACAGA